CGGGGTCAGGTGAATAAAACTTCGCTACTTCGCTCTTTTTGGCCGCAGAGCCCGCAATGCAGGTGAGAAACGGAACGTACAAGGGCATATGAGCACCGCAAAATCAGAGATATTGACACCTGGTAGCACAGTGGTGTGCGTCTGCGGTCAGCCGAGCGACCATAGGTCAATATTACAGCAGATTGTCTCCCGCTCGATCCGGGGCCAGGTGAATAAAATTTGGTATATCCGTTATTTTTCTCCGGAGACCCGGCAATGAGACTGAGAAACGGAACGCATGATTGCATAAGATTTAGCTGGGCTTCAGTCGAGCTGCAGTGCGATGAAACCAACAGCGCCGGTCAAAGCATGCAAAACGTGTTGAAATCGCTCGTGTATGAAACCCGAGGAAGGAGGATAGTATCACCTCGGCGTGCATCTGCGGTCCATTATCGGCGTGACCGCGAATTTCTGCAGAGGTTCCCCGTTCGATTCGGGGCCAGGTGAATTGAGAGTTGGCAGGATCTATGTTTTATTTTGTTAATAGGAGGCAGGGAATGAGATGCCCGGATGGAGGGTACGCGTGGTGTGAGGTGCCATTCGTCGAGTAGGATTTATCGGTTCCTTGGGCATCATTCGAGCTTCAGGACATGCGAAGGAACAGGTCAGGTCCAAGCAGGCTTGAAATCGGTCGAATATGAAGCCCGAGGATGCACTGATAATATCACCTGTAGCACGACGGAGTGCATCTGCACCATGTGGCGAAGATATGAATGCATGCAGAGGTCCCCCGTTCGATTCGGGGTCAGGTGAATAAACATTTGCTACATCGGTTCTTTTTGTCCCGAGAGCCCGCAATGAAATTGAGAAACGGATTATATGATGGCATATGAGGACTGCAAAATAAAGGATATTGACATCTGGTAGCACAATGGCGTGCGTCTGCGGCCTGTATGGCAGCATGTAGTACGGCAGAAGGTCTTCGTTCGATCCGGGGCCAGGTGGATCACTGGAGGAGAAGTGATAATATTGTTAATTTTTCCTGAGATCCCGCAATGCGGCTGAGAAACGGAAAGTACAATGGTACATGAGGACGAAAGGAATGAGGGATAGTAACGCCTGGTAGCACAATGGTGTGCGTCTGCGAGAACAACATGAGGGAAGTCAATATTACGCGTCAGGTGAATTCGACGACGAAGGAGGTTTTTTTGCTGGAGGTATGAGGGACGGTTCATAGCCAGTCGAAGAGACAGACAGACTTTACAAAATGTACGCGATGGATTAAAAGGAGTACGTAATGGTTGGTTTCATGCGTCATCGGCCGGGAGAGTACGTCGGAATCTGGGATTTCCCACTTCAGCGCCTGGAAAGAATCTCGCTAGGCGAAAGAACTTCCTCGGCCTTGCCAAATGGGATTTGCTGGCTGCAGCGCCGCTTCTTTGAACACTGGTACTCCTTATCAGTCCTTATTCATGGACACATACCAGCCATTCCCACGCCAACTGCCATGATCTCGGCAGTGCCTCGCACGTGCCATGTTTCAACCTCCCGACGTCATGCCTCGCGCGCCACCCGAATCATGTGGAGCTCGCTTACACCGTGGTATAAGGGCACCGAGAACGGGTCTCCCATCACTCTTCCTCACCCCCACGCTCTGCCCGCCTTCTTCCCTTTGTTGCTTTTCAATGTCTGCTTCGCTCGCCCCCACGTCTTTTAACATGGCCCTGCCTTCCGACTCGACTGCGCACGCGCGGCCGCCGAAAGCGCCACCCCTTAACTCGACAGCGTCTACGCCGGGGCTGGAGGTTCCCGGCGGGTACCCGCGGGACAGCGTCGTCTTCGCCGGCAATAAATGGGATCATGGCAATGCCCCGCCGGGCTTGTTAAGTACCGCGAAAGCCTACCTTCCGGCACCCATCACGAACGCCAAGGCGTACCTTCCGCCTGCTGTTGCGTCGTATTTCCGTGCGTTTTATTTCTTTCGCGGATCCGGAGATTCGCGTCCATCCTGCGTTCCTGTTCGCCTTGAGGCTATTCTTGAACTCATATACCCTACTACCAGCGTCGACCGAAACCGCGAGCAAGTCGGAAATCTCCCCCCGCATCGTGAAAGCAAATGCAGACCCAACCGTCCATACGCCGTACCCAGCCGTGTTGAACACAGACGGCAGCGTCAGCGCCGCGAGCGACTTTAGCACGCGCGCGTACGCGGGCTCCTCGAGCGGCCTGCCCACTCCAACACCGGGCGACTTCCCCGGGGTCCCTTCATCCTCGGGGTACTTCCCCCAGGTATCTCCGCCAAGCACGCCGGACTCGCACCCGCATTCGCACGCGAGCGATGCCTCGAAGCAGGCGACCTCCGCGGCGCCGTCCTCGCTGCCCCCCGCGCACACGCAGCTCGCCGACCCGGGCGTCGCGCCCCTCCTAAGCGTCTCGCCCGTCCGTGTCGCGACGCCCGCACACGCCTCCCCCGCTACCCCAACTTCCTCCTCCACCTCCGGGTCCGCCGGCAGCACCCCCACGAGCGCCAGCACCGCGCCCTCCTCCCCCGCCTCCGCCTCTCTCAAGAAATCGCCCTCGGGCTTTGCGCGCTGGGCCTCGCGCTCGCTCTCCAAGCGCTCCTCTGCCCCGCCCGCCGCGCACGCGTCGAGCCCGCCCTCGGCGTTCGCGTCCCCTCCTCCCTCCGCGTTCGCTAAGCCGCGCGCGAGCCTCGACACGTCCCCGCCCCCGTCTGCGCCCGCCACCAGTCCCACGGCGACCAAGTCCGCGCCGGCGGAGCAGGCGCCGCCGCCGAAGCGCCGCGGCTCGCTCCTGCGCACGCTGCGCGGCGAGGCGAAGGTGCTGAGCGGGCGGGTGCGGCGCGATCCGGGGCGCGTGGAGGCGGGGCGGCGGATGCTGAGCGAGGCTTGAGCGTCTCCCGTCGTCTAACTCACGATGTGGTGAAGTAAAACCCTTGCGAGGGACGGACGCAAAATCGAACCGACGTTGAGCGCGGACTCGAATGGACTCGGGGCTCGGACACGAACTTTGTAAAGCTGGACTTGTACTATTAGATTACTACGCCGCTCGTTGGCACGGACGTGTACGTATTACTCTCGTACTAGTGTATGTTTATAGATCCTAATTCAGTGTTAATTCGGGGACAATTCGGGGATATTTCAGCAGTCGTGTGGCGAACGAAGGCTAAGCGCACATGGGGCGGGAGGCCGGCCTCCGTGGTAAAAGATTGGGTCAGCAGGAAATATGCCGCCCGGGGGAATCGAACCCCGCCTCCCTTGCATATGTGTATATGATCAAACCATTGAATGAGGGCGACCGCCGCGGTCCACGACGGCTGATAATTAGGGAGGTTTGTTCTCAAGGTGTTCTAGCACAGGCGTCTGTGAACAAAACTGGCCTTCACAACTCCATCGCGAAGGGTCGCGTGCGAGTCATTGTCCGACCTGGGAAAAAGAATGTGCCAGTCCGGCTACATGCCGCCGGGGGGAATCGAACCCCCGCCTCCCTCGCATACAGATATGGGTACAAATGATTGGATGAGGGCGACCGCCTCGGTCCACGACGGCTGATAATTAGGTGGGTGAGACTGCTCCCTACTCACTCGTGCCACTGCATATCTCGTAGATCCGAATTCAGTGTTAATTCGATGTTATAGCACTGGCCTTCACGTCTCTGTCGCGGCCTTCACCTCTTCACCGCGAAGGTCGTATTCCTGTCGCAGTCGCGTGCGAGTCATTGTCCGACCTGGGAAAAAGGATGTGCCAGTCCTGCTACATGCCGCCGGGGGGAATCGAACCCCCGCCTCCCTCGCATACAGATTTGGGTTCAGATGATTGGATGAGGGCGACCGCGTCGGTCCACGACGGCTGATAATTAGGTGGGTGAGACTGCTCCCTACTCACTCGTGCCACTGCGTATCTCGTAGATCCTAATTCAGTGTAAATTCGAGGATGCTGTAGCTGGACTGGCTCTCACGTCTCTATCATAGTATCGTGGCCTTCACCTCTTCATCGCGAAGGTCGTATTACAGCTCTTTGCAGAAGTAATGACACTTCCTAAAAATAGATTAAGAAAGAGCAACTTGAACACCCCGCATCTTCGTGCTCATTTCTCGGCCAATTCTGGCCTGATTGACATGATTCCGGGTGGGTTCAAGAGGCAGGAAGCAGGGCTTTCCACCCACATGCTACATTACAGACAGCTCCCAAGAATTAGGTGCTTCAAAATTCACCCCCTTTGTTTTGAACCGCAGCTTGAATAGCTCAGTATTCGGTTAATTCTGAACTGGATTGGATGATCTTGGGGTCATTTTGACGGGATTATATAGGCATAGGCGCTCCGGGCTTCACCTTTTGGTTTCACATCCAAATTCCCATGGTTCAATGAATTCTTGAAATCTCACACAAAATATAAGCTTGGAGGAGTGCCGGAGTGGTGCGACACATTTGGATATACTAAGCATTATTGCCTATATTTTAGGGTCAGGAATCATCCGGATTCAAGAAAATCGACCAGGAATTGAATGAGAACGGTCAATCAGAACCTGTCGTTCGGAAGACCGGGGTCAAATTTTAGGGTCCTCAAATTTCGTGTTTAACCCTTGATGTTTAGTATGGGTTGAAAGCCCTGCTTAACCGCTCTCTAATGTGCCTAGAATCAAGTCAATCCATCAAGAATTGACAGAGGAATGAGCATGAGAATCAGGTGTGTTTAAATTGCTCTTTCTTATAAAAATAGGGGTAGTGTCATTACATTTGCAAACAGCTGTAATTGTCGCAGTCGCGTGCGAGTCATTGTCCGACCTGGGAAAAAGGATGTGCCAGTCCGGCTACATACCGCCGGGGGGAATCGAACCCCCGCCTCCCTCGCATACAGATTTGGGTTCAGATGATTGAATGAGGGCGACCGCCTCGGTCCACGACGGCTGATAATTAGGTAGGTGAGCTCCCGCGTCGAATCAGACACCGGTGAAGCAAAAACAAACAAATAGGAGTGGGTACGAGAAGACAGTGCCGTCGGGAGGGGGTCGAACCTCCGATTCCCTTGCATACAGGTGTGGGTCCAAATGATTGAATGAGGATGACCACCATGGTCTACGACGGCTGGTATTTGCATTTATGTGACACTGCGGGCAAGTGCCATGACCGTGGGTTCATGGCATTTGATCGGCAGAGGACCGACACTTGCCATGGCGTTGGCCAGGCATTGCACAGATTCCTTTTGTTCTTTGTCAACGTGGGACTTGCGCGGCTTGATATCGGTGATCAATCGGCGATCATTTCGACCTTGTCATCCTCTATTTCTGAGTTTTTTCGCAGTCATTCGAGAAAAAATATGTTGCTCTTCCCATAGCTTAATCCTAAAAAAGTCCCTGGGTTGTTATTCATTTTTCTATCACTCCTTGAGGGGCAGCCAATTTTGCCCAGGCCCCAGGGTTCAAGCCGCACTTAAAACAAATTCACTGTACGGCAGGGGGTCGGGGAGATAGAGACTTGTAAAATTTACCTTGGGTGCTCCATGCTTCCCTGACCTTGTTCGTAGTAAGACAACGGCCATCGAGTGGTGGATAAGACAAGACGAGAAATTATGGTGCCATTCAAACCAGAATACTGGGCTGTCCCATGCTGACAAAGGAACAAAGAAGTTCGTGCAATGCCTGGTCAACGCCATGGCAAGTGTCGGTCCTCTGCCGATCAAATGCCATGAACCCACGGTCATGGCACTTGCCCGCAGTGTGAGATTGGGTATCGACGATGAAGAAAACGGCGACGGTAGGAAGCGAACCTTCTGCCTTCCGCATTTAATTGGGTGAAGTTTTGGCCCATCCACTAGAGCTGATATTCATCGATGTGGTATGAATAAAAAAAAATAGGCCAAGTACGCGAGAAACATATGCGATACACACCGCTCGGAACGGAAGAATCGAAAATTCAAATCAAGAACTGACACAAGCGAAAATGAAGGTCTACGATGTCTGTTCCTTCCTATGGATATGCGAGTTATCCAAGGAAACTCGCTGGAGACGGAAATAAATGACAGTGCGAGGAGGAAAAAGGATGAGGCGAAGAAATGCGTCTCTTGTTTTTCCTCCATATAAGCGTGTACTTGGATGGCTTGCAAGTTCGGACACGGTCGGGTCAAACCGTGTGAATCAAGGTGATCGATCACCCGATCATTCGGCGTGTATCAGCAAACTTTGAGCAAACTCCTTTGCTCCTGACCGCCAACATTTGCTCGACCCGTGAACGTCCTTGCTGGGTAAATATATATATAGTAGGAGCTTCCATGTGCATCACTCTACATGATACCTTCTAATCCTAGCGTGTGCCAGGGAATCCGTCAATCTAGCTGGACTCCGAGTCGATCATGTCTGAGACAGCCCCTTGTCTGTACCCCGCCATCCGCACAACCCAGGCCTGGCCATTGTGCTCTCGAATTTACTGGACTCAGAACAGAACGTCCTAGCCTCTGACTCTCCCGATTTGCCCATGAGACAAGCCCCCTCCTCAAATGATATAAAAGCGCTACGTTCTGACGGTAGTATCTCCATATCTCTCATCTAACAACTTAACAACTTAGCAATGCTCACCACTACCTCTCTTACCCTCCTGCTCACTGCTTCTGTCGTCCTTGGCGGTCCTACTATCGCCAGACACAGGTGAGCTTCTTTTTTCTTTCTCGTCGCCTACAATTCTAACTTCGTTTCAGAGGATGCGCAACGCACATTGAGCCCGAGGATATCGTCGTCGCGGAGCGCCACTTTGCCGCTAACAAGACCGAAGCAGACAAGATTGCCAACACGGCGGTCAAGGCACTTATTGCCTTCTCGCATTCAACCACTTTACTGAGAATCCCAGGTCTACTGGCACGTCATCAGCAAAGACTCGACCCTCACTGGCGGAAACATTCCGTAAGTCGTAAAGCCTCTCCCAACCGCAACTCCCAGCTGAAATTTAATAATCCAGTGACTCCCAAATTGCCAACCAAATCAGCGTCCTTAACAAGGACTACGCCGGAAATATTACTTGGACTCTCGCCAACACCAACCGCACGGTCAACGCCGACTGGTTTAACAACGCCGGGCCCTCGACGTCGCAGCAAACAGCAATGAAAGCTTCGCGGCAGGGCGGAAAGGGCGATCTCAACGTGTACTCCGTGGGGTATGTTAATTTGTCGCATTCATCGAAACCCACTCAACATCGTCCGTAGATTCGTCAACGGCTCAGGCGCCGGTCTACTCGGCTACTCCACGTTCCCTTCCTCATACAGCGGTGCGCCGCAAGATGACGGAATCGTAATACTATTCTCCAGTGTCCCCGGCGGCTCGACCAATGGGTATAATCTCGGACGGGTAAGCAGACTCGTCTCACTTCATCCCGTAGATTCTAATACCTGCGCAGACCCTCACCCACAAATCAGGCCACTGGCTCGGGCTCTACCACACATTCCAGGGTGGCTGCGCCGGGTCCGGTACTGCCACCGCAGGCGACTACGTCTCCGACACGCCCGCCGAATCCTCCGCCGCCTCAGGTTGCCCCTCCGGCCGCGACACATGTACCGGCACGAACTTCCCTGGCGCTGATCCCGTTAGTGAGTGCCCTGTCCTTTCCCGCTTCTTTGAACAGGGATTGATTTAAATTTACCAGCGAACTTCATGGATTACTCCTCGGACGCCTGCATGACGCAGTTTTCGGCGGGGCAGATGGCCCGGGCGACAACCCAGTTCTCAACGTATCGGACGTGAAACTGGGTTGTTCGCTGGGCTCGTCGGAAATAGATAATCCAAAAATACTAGATAATATCCTCTTGTTTCGTCGCATCTAGCGCTGAATCAATACGTTTTCTGCTTATACGTCCCGAACATGGTTTTGTCAGTTTCCATTTGCCCTGGCAGCCACTTATCTTCAAGTTCTCTGGTTCCATACTCTGTCTTCTTCGCTTTGCCCCTTTGTTCATCCGAAGATGAGAAAATTCCTTATATCCGGTAGTCGACAATCCAAAATAATGCGCCCATATAGACGCAACGGTTCAGAGGATATATGGAGTGTAATTAAGCGAATGAGTAGGAACGAATGTCGGGTATCGTAACAAGAGCGAGCTTTACGCCGGGATCGTCTTGTTGAACCAGTTGACAGCCTGTTGGAACGCCTTCTCGAAGCCCTCCTTCACGCAGCAACCCTAGGAGCTTTGCTTAATCATGGAATGTTGAGACGTTAATCCGGGATTAAAGCAGAGATTATCAAATCCGGATGAATGCGGTCATAGGCGGGCGTTTAATGCAAAGTTTAATCACTCATTACTGAGCACAGTTATAACCCAAAAAGTCTTCCATCAGCGTGATTCGAACCCAGCGCGGAAAAATTGCATGCTACAAAATAACACGAGCATTAACCCTTGCCCCAAGACAGCATGATGTGCTTCTGAGTATTAGCATTAATACTGGCCACAGGCCTGGCCGGTGTCCAATTTTCTCAACTTGGATCAAGACACCTTGACACTGAAGTCATTTTGGCATAACCACAGTCCTGCGTGGCCTGGTTGACCACTGAGAACACCCACCACCAGA